TACTGCTTCCCTCAGCCTCCCTCTCTACACTCCCACAACTCTGTTTAACACCATCTCTGTTGGTATAGCAACAGAGTCTCCATCCAGTGGATGCCAGGCTTGCCATGTCCTGTATCACAGTGGGCCTCAAGGCCTGTCTAGTCCTCATAAGGGGACAGTCACAGAGCTTCCACATGTGTGGTTCTCACCTTCAGGGAGCCCTCCTGAGCCCTAAATGACAGAAAGGGTTGTGGGCGCTGGACTTCAAACTAGCAAGCAAGAGAAAAAACACAGGACCATAATGCATGTGGTGCCCTGCCCCCACTATCCACCGGTGAATGACAGGTTCTGTCACGCTGTACTGTGCCTTTGTTGTGGTGGTGGTGGTTTTTTGTTGTTTGTTTCTTTTTTTTTTTTTTGAGACAGGTTTTTTTTGTAGCCCTGGCTAGTCCTGGATCTTGTTTTGTAGACCAGGCTGACCTTGAACTCAGAGAGCACTGGGCTCACACCACTTTGTCTTTCTATACTGTGCAGTTTTAGCGGTGACTTACCATGGAGCCAGCTCCTGATGGCCCTCCACTTGCCCCCTCAGCACAGCACACAGCATGTTTGTTTTTCCTGTTGTGAAAGGTTCTTGTGAGAGGGCTTGCTGTGGAATGAATCTGGGGTTCACCATGTACCTATATAATATACTCTGTGGGTGTGTGTAAACATGGGGGGGGGAGCAGTTTCCGCTTGTCGTCCATGACCTCAAACTGGTAATGAAGCTAAGGTCAGTGTTAGAGGTGAGTTAGTGAGAAATAGCCTAACTGGACCTTGACGGCAAACTCAGGGTTACTCAGATGTCCTCACGTGGAGTCAACAGAAAAGCGCCATGGCCTCGTGGCTTGCCTCCCTCTCACTTCCCAGGGATGGAAAAGCATCGTGGAGACCCCCGTTCTGCAAACCCACAAGTGAACTGGAACCGCTGTACCAGTTTGCGGAAGCAGCAGGTACTCGGTGCTGGCAGTCAGTGCCTGAGGAGCTGGTGTGGGCTGGTGCATGTGCTGCTCTCTCCTCCTCCTCTTTGTTAGAAGACTGGATGTAAGACTTGAGTGTGTTTCTACAGTGGCTGTTCTTGGCAGTGCTGCAAGACCTTCCAGGAGTTAAGTGTGTGCGTGTGCATGTGTGCTGAGAGCCTGGTAAACAAGGCCTGAAAAACACCTGAATGGCGAGTCCTGTGGTCTTGTGGACTGGGAGCTTCCTGGGGGGAACCCTCCTGCATAGGCCATGTCACTCAGTTGGAACCAGCTCTCAAAATTTCAGAGGATTCCCTGCTTCCTGCATCTAAAGTCGGTTCTCAAACAGTGAACCAAGGTCAGTTCTCACTCCTGCTGACCCTCAGGAGCCGAGAAGTCGCTGGGAAGTCCCTGGGAAAAGTGAAATTCCAGAATAGTGACTGTAGGTTTACCTTTAGACTAGTGGGCGGGGCCTGCTCTTTCTTTTCTTCCTGATAAGAATCACCTGGGACGCTTGTTAAGTACACAGACAGTTGAGGCCTTAACAACCATCCTGGGCCATTTCTGTCTTCAGACAGGTTTGGGAAGCAGTCTGTCTGCTGTTCCAAAAATAGCCTGTGGTAGAACAGTTTGCTGCAAGTTTGGGTTTGCATGTCACACAGTAAGTAATAAATAGGCCCTTCTTGTTTGCAGCCCTGACCCTACCCACACATCAGTCTAGGCACCAGCCCTGTGCTGACTTTTTCTCTGACTGACCAGTTCAGGTTCCTGTTTTATTTCTCATAAATAGGTATGTTGTATTTAGCATACCATTTATAACCCTTTCAGAGCAAACAACTTGTGGAGAATGCTGTTAGCATCACGAATATTAACGTGCTGGACAATAATCCCCAGTGTGGGCTGAGACGGCACGCTTAGCAATTCCTCTGTTGGTGAATATTGAGGTTACGGGGACTTCCCATTAATACATACTTTATTGAGCATCTTTGCCCATGTTCCCTTGTGTACAATTATGAGTAAATACTGAGATGTGAAATTGCTGAGTCAGACTATGTGTATTTGGAGATTTCTATTAATCCTGCTAAAAGTTAGCTGTCAGAGTGTCCCTTGCTGCTTACCATGAGAGGTCCCAGTTAGTTATTCATGCAGGGGCAGCTATCTTACAAGAGCAATGAAAATAATCACCCAGGCATCTGGAAGGGTAGCCAAGTGGCAACACCCACCTTCCTCTAGCACTTCCCTTGGGGATGGACAGGAAGACTGCTTCCTATCACACAGCTAATCCCCATGGCAAACACAGCAGCCCGGAGAGCCATGATGTTGAGTTTTGGGATATGGTGGGATCTAAATCCCAGTGTGGGGGTCAGGCTTTGTGGGCTGGCCCAGAGGGCCTCCTGGACTGCTCAGCGACTGGGTCTGGCCCTGCTGGGGATGTTTTGTGACCTGTGAAAACTCTCTAGGGGCTGTAGCCTGAGCTGGATCACCTGCATTGTATGAAAGCTCTCCTAGGAGAGAGAGAGCCAAGGAAGATATGGCCTGGATCCCTGTCCTGTGTCCATTAATGCAGGGCCAGGGACCAGGCTTCCCAAAGCAAGCTGCTCGTGCAGTTGAACTGCTGATACAGATTTACAGGAAGATCTGCTAAGCACAGCGACCCCAGCAGGCCCACGTCTGTGGGCAGCCACTCATTTCATCAAGATGTATGGCAGCTTAGAGGCACAGCTCCTGCCCGTGAGCCCTGGGTGACCAGAGCAGTTCTGCTATGGCTGTTCACAAGGGGCCCTGCATCTTTTGCTCCGCCTCTACCACCTGCTTAAATTTCACTTTGAGCTAGGACGTGATTTGCCTAAGGTTGGACCCTTCAGGGCTGTGTTTGCCAAGTTTCAGGTTGCTTAAACTTACTCCCCTCCACCAGCCTCACTTTGAAGTTCAAAAGCAAATTGATTAAAAATACGTTTTAGGAACTTTTTGGTTTGCTTCTTAAACTAACAGAACTCTAAACTTTTTTTTTTTTTAAACGGAAGCATTCCCAGCTGTCAGCAGGTATAACCGGAACCACATGTCATTAGAGACTAGGGGGTTTTCCTGCTTTTAGGATTTGTAAATTCTTATTGAAAAGGAAGTAAGCAAGGCAGGCAGCTGGGGGCCTATGGCAGCCTGAGCTCATTTTAATTAGAAAATACAGATAGTGCCTGCTTTATTACAGGCCTCCCAGCGCTCTCATCCCTTGGTGAACAAAGATTTGGTTTATGTCCTGCAAGTCTCCGTGTTTGCAAATTACAGAGCACTTCCGAAAGGGGCTGGAATGCTGATTGCTGAATTACTCGGAGACTCCAGCCAGGCTGGGCACCACCTTACCACCCATGGTCCCCAGCAAAAAAAAAAAAAAAAAAAAAAAAAACCAGATAATTTTCCCCCTTGGGGGAAACACTTCCTCCCTCCCATCCTCACTGCAAACCAGAGGTGGATTTTCAGATTGCAAAGACAGTGAAGGCGTGGACCGGGAGTAGCAGAGTTAGGTGTCTCCTGCGGCAGCTATGTAGGACACATTCTCCATTGGGGTGTCTGGTTCCTTGAACTCAAAGCTCTGTCCACAAGACCTACTTCTGAACTGTTCCTGGCTGACGGCGCTTCACGTCCACGACTCTTAATGTGTTCTGCAAATGGTGGAGTGCAAAGATCAAACGAAAGACAAAGGCAAGCCTAGCTCTCCCCCAACCCCCTTGTTTGTTCCTGGTGTCCTTTGAGTCTCCTGAAAGGCAGTGATTACTACGTCTTCATCTGGAGCCCCTGGGACCCAGAGTCTGACCTGGTTTATCTACTTGGGTGTTGGGTGCTCTGGGCCTGGGTCCTCTCTGATGGGTACGGTCCAGTTTAGTGACCAGGGACAATTGAAAGTCCTTCTGTGGGCATCACTTGTGCCTCCTGCCAGGGCTACCACAGGCTGACATTCACCAGGCAGAGTCTTTCTCTGTGCTGGGTTTACAGGCCTTTGCAAATACCTTGCATTCCAGGAGCCCAGAGAAAAGAGTGGCTCCAGCTCCCGTGGTGTCTAATTAAACCCACAATTTAAATAACAATTCATCAAGGGGATGCTAACCTCCTCCCTCCCTGGGGCAGCAGCTGGGAGACTGAGGACTTATTAGCCCGTTGCTAGACACCTAACCTGGAGGGTAGGGGTAGGGAGGGAAGGGCTCTCAGAGTTTAGGGTGAGGCTGATCTGTGATGAAGTGTGGGTTGAGAGAGTGAGGACTCGGGGAGTTAGAAATGAGCGGAAAGGTACTGTGTTCTGAAGCTTTCAACTGGATGTTGTCGCCCTTCACCTCTAGGGCCGCAGGAATTCTACAAATGCCAGTTCTTCAGAGTCCTCACCCAGCCTGAGAACTGCCCCAGTGACTCATTCTTTGGCTGTTGTTAGTCAAAGGGCTGGCAGGGCTCTGGCCTGCTGCCAGGTGAGGGCACTAGGATTGGCCTCATGAGGGAAGATCTGGGGACGCTGCTGCCCACCCTGGACCTCCTTGGGCTCTTGAGCCTTTTTTTTTTTTAACCCTTGGTATCTGTACAGCACTGAGTTTAGTGTTCTCATTTGGCCTGTGTAGGGCCACACTCGTCTTTTATAGCATGTTGATCTCACCGAATTGTTGTGTGATGACCCACAGCGGGATTGTGTTCCAGGTTTGGAGACGAGGAATGCTGAGTGCAGCTATCCTTGGCTGAGGTCTTGTGCTTCAGCTGGCACCGAGGGCCTGCCAGCGTTTCTAAACTCTGTGATCTCCCAACTTTCTCTCTGTTCGGTTAAACATACACTCCGCAAGACTACAGGTCCTCATCTCTGTCCTTTGTGCACTGGCCTTTACCCAGCTGCCCTTCCAGTTCCCCCAGGGTGGGCTCATGTGTCTGACTTCCCCACCCCTCCATGCTGAGCAGCCCAGGAGCAGTTTCTGTTGGCTGGAGTAATGCCTGGCCGTGAAGGGTGGCGAAACAAAACCAATGATGGCCTCACATTCTTCTTCCTCCCTGCAGGTGACCATAGCTGATGACTACTCGGATCCTTTTGATGCCAAGAATGACCTCAAGAGCAAAACCGGAAAGGGGGAAAGCGCTGGCTACATGGAGCCCTATGAAGCCCAAAGGATCATGACAGGTAAGTAGAGCGGCTGGAATAGAGTTTTAGTTTGTTTTCTATTGCGGTAACAGAATACCCAAGACTGAGGTTTTTATCAGGTGGACACACTGTCCAGGGCCTCACGCTACATCATAGTATGGCAAAAAGCAGAACCAGCAAACTGCACAGAAGAGACAGGGAGGAGCTTGCCTGTTCTTACAGCGACAGCCCCAGCCCTCAGAGCCAAGTGCCCAGTCACTTCCACAAGTTGACATTAGTCTCTGTTTGAAGACTCCATCCCCATTACCACCACCACCACCACCTGCTGTGTGGAGCAGCTGATGAACAGGTCTCCAGTTCTGGGGGGACAGAGAACAGTTAAACCATAGCACACAGGACTTACAGTGCAACAAGAAGACAAGAGCGAGGCCTGCTGCACATCTTGTTGACTTCACTGTGAAAGAGTGCTCGCTCACAGTGACAGCTGAGGGGCAGTGTGCTGTTTTATCTCATACTAAAAAAAATTATTGCGAGTGTGTGCAAAATATATGCAGCAGGGCTGGAGAGATGGCTCAGCAGTTAAGAGCATTGCCTGCTCTTCCAAAGGTCCTGAGTTCAATTCCCAGCAACCACATGGTGGCTCACAACCATCTGTAATGAGATCTGGTGCCCTCTTCTGGTCTGCAGGCATACATGCAGACAGAATACTGAGAATACTGTATACATAATAAATAAATAAATCTTTAAAAAAAATATGCGCCATGCACATGTGGGTGACAGAGTGACAGGAATCGGTGTTTTACCATGTGAGTCCCTAGGATTGAACTCAGGTCCTTAGGCTTGGCGGCAAGTGCCCTCACTTGCTGAGCCCTTTCACCCACTCCTTCCCCACATTTTATTGGCTTGTGTTTCACCAACATCAGAAAAAGACTTTCAGATCAGAACACAGTCATCTAGAGATACCAAAAGCTATAGGAGAGTTTGCTCAAAAACCCCGAGTGCAGAGAATTGGACAGAAAACCTTACTTGAAGCCAACTACCAGCCAAGGCAAATGTGGAAGCAGGCCAGGTCATGGCATTAGTTAACTGGACTGGTGGAAGAGGAGGGTACCTTGTAATCCCAGAACGGGATTCTGTGGTTACCAGAACAGCTGGCCCCTATGCTATGCAAAGTACCTAATGTTTGCTGCCCTTGCTGTCAGCTTTCTCACTGGGAGACCATCACTCACTTTACCCACATCTTTTCCAGCACTTACAAGGGGCAGTTTCTGGTTGTGAGGATCTTGTTCCTGTGTCTCTGGAGTCTTGGTGTGTACCATCACTGTGGTGGTTGATATCGTGGGCATGGTCCGGGGTGAGCTGTCAGTGTGTAAGTGCTCCAGGAAGGGATTCAGATCCATAAAGAGACCCAAAACTTGCTTTGGGGAGAATCAGGGAGAGGTTGGTGCTGGAGGTGGCCATGGGATGGGTGGCCCAGGAAGTTTTAAGTGTTTAGGCTGTGTCTGTAGCCCTGGCTGACCTCCTAGGTGCTAGGTTTACAAGGATGCGCCACCATTTAGGGTCACTGTTGTAATTTCTGTTCTTGTGTGTACTGGATCTAGTCCAGAGCAGTGTCCCGTGCCTGGAAGGGCCCCAGGCTGTAGTGAAGCACATCTGGAATAAGCACACGCCATCCAAACAACCTCTGGGATTCAGTTTCTCCTGTAGAGTAAGAACCTTAAGTCCGGCAGTGTGCTGTGCAAGGCTGCTTTGGGCTGTTCACTAGCGGCAACTCAGGCAGCATCCGTGCCTCTGGTTTTCCCTGTGTCAGCGACAGTAACAATGACAATAGAAGTGGTCAGATTCTCTACCCCTCGTTTGCACTGGTTAATGTGGGATCCGAGTGGAGGACCTGTTTTTACCAGTGGAGAACTACCGTTTAGCACCTTCTTTGTGGGACTGGTGCTGTGGCTTGGTTTCCAGTGTCTTGGCAACATTGCCATCTCATGCTGGATTCAGTGATGACCTTTGCCCCTTTGCAACCCTAGCTCCAGGTGGTTGGCCATGGGAGCTTCTGCAAACAGACAACTGGTTCCAGCCCCTAAGTAAGCACTAGTAGCTTCCTCTGATGCCTCAGCTCATTGTCTCCAGGGCTCTGCTTGTGACACCTGCAAGAGCCTCCGTGCCCAGGTGCCTTCTGGTTATCAGAGCCCTGTTTACCTCACTACCCGAGTGTCTTGCAGAACTGCCTCAAAACCTGGCAGCACAGATCAGAGGATGCAGCTCAGTGGGGGAGCATTTGCCTTGCCTGAGTGAAGAAGCCCTCACTTGGTAAACCCTCAGCTCCTTCCACAAGACAAAAGACACAGCTGGAGAGCCAGAGACCTCCAGCCATTCCTTTTGGTGAATTGGAAAACTGAGAGTAGAAAAAAACAAAAAGAGTTAATCCTTGTGAGATTTATTTTGAAGCCACTGGTTAAATGTGAGGCTATTTTACGAATCAGTAATCAGCCTGTCCTCAGTGGTGTTAAAGCAGAGAACATTGGGAAGGGTTGTTACATTTCAGATGGTTGAGTGGCTCCCAGTGACCTGAGGTCCATGTTAACCCCGAATCCTTGAGATGCCATGATTTATTGTGACTACCTTTCACACACACAAATTGTCCTATTTTTCAGGACTGGCCCCATGAAGGGAACAGGTCTTCCTTGGCTCGACTCTCAGATTCTGATCTTGGCTTCTTCTCTGATCTGCTACCTCAGAAAGAAAGACAAGAATATTCCTAGGTTTCTTTCTTGTCCCCACACATGTTTGACGTCCTTAGACCAAATTTCCTATTGGGCCAGTGCTCAGACTGCTTCAGGTGAAGCCCAAGTATTTTGTTACTTTGTTTTTTGCCTCGGTGCTGGGGTTGAACCTAGGACCTCATACCAGTTCAGACAAACATTCCAACACTGAACAGCTGTTTCCCAAGTCATCTTATTTTGTAGTGGTCTTGGTAAGCCAGGTAGGTTTCGGCTTCCTGAGTACCTAGGTCCATGGGCCCGTGCCACCAGACCTAGCTACAGGCCAGCTTTACCTTTCCCCAAGTCTCTGTCCCAGCTATCTCAGCACCAGGGGACCTGATACCTTTCAGGCTCTGTGGACACATGCACTTACATACCTAATCAAAAATAATATTAAATAAAAATGCAAAAGAATTGGGACTGTAGGTCAGTGAGGACAAGTATGCGGGATTACTAGAGCAGAGCCTGAGTAGGCCTTTGACTCGAGGGGGCTTTGGATGAGATGATACGTGTGACAGTTGGTTGTTAGTTTCGCGGAGGACTTCCCTGCACACTCCACGGCTTCACTCATTTAGCCCTGATGGAGCATGAGAGGGCCAAGCACTCTCCTGCCAGGTCACAGAGCACATTGAGGCCAGCAAAGGAAGCAGTAGTACCCCATCCAGCCTTTGTGTATTTGCTAACAGCACATTCCTCAGAACCCAGTCATAGCTCTTCCCAGGGGGCTATGGAAGTAAGGGAAGGTCACTGTTGCCTGTGCTCCCCTCTTGCCTCCAACATCCTTGACAGAAGCACTCAGGACTCCTAAGAAGAGTCACTTTGGTATGAATTGAAAGCATTTTCACTTACTTTTAAATATGTAATTACACATTAAAAACTCCTTAGCTGTCGTTATTACTAAATCAGCCTTACAGCATAATAGACCAAGAGAGGTCTTTCCACACTCCTTGGTCCTGCTTGTCTTCTCTTTCAAACCCTGTATGTGGTAGTTGTGCTGTCAAGTGGCCAGAGGGACGTATCGCGTGTTATCTCCTTCTCTTGTGCAGCCTCTCTGGTGGCCGTGTACTTTCCAGAAATAGTAGCAGATGCTATATTGAAAACAGTATTCTTTATGAGGAATGCAGGAAATGGTGGGGCCTCTAGTCTTTGGTTTGCCACGTGGCCCTGGACAGGTTTCTTCCCCCTCTGCTTCATTCCTTCATCTGTAAAACTGGATTCTGCTTTTTATCACCAGGTGTCAAATGGATCCAAAAAAGGGAAGAGATCTGGATTGACTGTAAATCTATAGAGTACCGCTTCTGGAGTCTCTCTGGGCTGCTAGACCCCTGGTAGTTCTGAATCTCCTGGCCTTTCCTGTGCAATACCCCCAAGTCTCTAGCAGGTGGTAGATGTTGACCTCTGCTCCCAGACAGGAAGAGCACCCTCTGACCCTGCTAGTCTAGTCTCTGCTTCTGGTCTAGAGTCCAACAGATACTTCTCAGAGAAGAGCCCTGGGCCTCGCCTGAGATTCCCATCTCTGTTCGCTGCCATCTGTGTTGTTTTGGACAGCTAGTCTGGTTTCTGGAGAGTGCAGGGCCTTTCTTGCAGAGGACAGGCCTTGCCCTTCTCCAAGCTTCACAGTGCAGTGGATTCTGTTCCCAACATGTCCCCTTCATCCTCACCCACTCTGCCCTGTACATCTACTTTCAAAGGGTCCCTGCACCTGCTTGTGTCCCTTACTCCCCAGCTGCCCCCGGTGGGTTCGTGATTTAGTCTGCCTTGGTGATTACAGCGCTCCCTTGATGGAGTGACACGATGAAGAACAGTCCTTTGGCATGGCATTCTTTCTTCCTGGGACCCAGACAGGTATCCACTGGCCACAGTTACACTCAGCAGAGCTGGTCTCCCGACTTACAGAACGGGGCTCCTCCTGGTCCTTGTTTTGAAATGTTTTGAAGCCTGACCTGGCCTCCTCCCATCTGGCAGGCAGGAAGGTTCATCTGGTATCAGGGATGGTGCAGTTCCCTGGTTGGTCTGTCATTTACTGGAATATCTTACCCACTGGACAGGAAGGAGATAATCAAGTGTAAATAGATTATGGATTAGTCAGCGATGACTTCCCTGTTCTTGAGAAAGAGTGGAGCTTACACACCCAACCCTGTACTTCTCACCTGCCCAGCTGCAGGGTGGGTGGAGAGGTGGGAAGCTGGGTTTCCATGGTGATGGGGCCCCCAGAGTTGTTTCCTCTGCCCTCTCCCACAGGAACTCCTGACTCTGAGTACATCCAGGTTTTTCAGG